TAGCCTACCAGTACAGCAGACAAAAATAAACTGTGGGATCAGTGAAGGCCACCAGGCCAGTTTGTGGGCTAGAACAGGACTGACCCCCTATGCAGCACGTGCAGCACTGAGGGTCAGTCCAAAGCACTGCATGGAGCCCATGCCCCACAGCCCCTGTGCTATATAGTGCCAGGTACAGCTGACAACACAGGCAGTGCACATCCTGTGCCCGCCCTGCTGCATGCACAAAGAGCCCCAAGGCCAGCAATGCTGCTTGTATCATGTTGAGCTGGACAGACTGTGAGCATTGCATGCAACAAAGGGGACTGAAATAGGGTGCACACTGCATGTGGTGCCCCACCAATCCAGCTCTGTGCATTGGCACGGCCTGATCCAGACCAACCCTGGACCCAGAGCGCAAGGCTGGGCAGCAGATCACACATGCAGTATGCACCCTGAACCGACTACCCCCACACTATGCACTAGGCACCCAGCGCTGGGTCCAGCCTGCACACTGAATGCAGCATGTGTAGCGAAATTTATGCAACACATGTGAGGCTGAGGCCAGCATGTGGGGACAGTCCAGCAACCTAGGAGTTGGATCATATGACTCCATGGGCCCATGGCACAGAACAGCTACCGAAGCCTACAAGACTTAGGTAAAGGTGTTTAAATTATGAGCAAAGAAATAGACGAGGCTTTTAACATTGTTTCCTTAAGTACTTGGCTTTTGTAAACAATTTGATAGATTACATTTGCTACTTGGCAGCTTTGGCATTTTTAAATAAAGTGTTTTCATTTTTACAGGTTTTTTTAGGCCTCTCCTTCCATGGTCCCGGAATCTTGACATCTCTTGGGCATGTAAATAGATAACTTAATGGCCATCAGATTATTAACAGATGTGCTCTTCAAATAATAGCTCTTCTGAAAAATAGTTCCATTTAATATAGACACATCAAGATGCACCACAACATATATACTATGACAATTAAGATATGATATCCAGGTCCCAAACCAAACCCAGGGATTATTAACCTAGTCCAGGGGCTCCCAAATCTTTGTTCACAGAGGGTCACTTAATGGTTGGGATATTGCACTGGTGGCTGCATAAAAGAATTAATATGCAATGCAAATACTTTATGTTCAACACATGGAATGTTGCATTTGTAAAGCATATAAACCAGTACCCATTGCTTAATTCAAGTTTAAGTAGTATTTTAACAGCAAGGAAAGTCAGCTGCATAAATTCATCAGGCAGCCAGCTCATGTAATTGAGCACTGCTCAATATATTGGTATCCTTATGCAGGGTGGGAGGTTATTTCATAGACATTAGGGCTGGAAGGGACCTCAGAAGA